AAACACAGTTTCAGAAGGGAAGGCATCACTGAAGGATGCGAAAGATTACATCTGAAATGTGTTTTGAAGGAAGGGAGGGCTTAAAGACAAAACAGTCAAGATTTTATAGGAAAAACGAATAGTATATGAAAATAAACTCAATGAGGCATATCGCCATTCTTTGCTAATATATACTGCATTCTTTTCACGTGTCATGCACAATTTTCTGGGATTTTATATGTATGAATAGTTTTACTCCTCCTAATAACCTATGAAGTAGATACTACGACCAGTCCTTTTTTAGTGAGACACATCACCCAAACTAAACAGTGAGATGGTGGCAAAGCAAGAAGTAAAACAACCTAGGGGTGCCTGGGTGGCTCAGTTGGTTAAGCGTCCAACTTCAGCTCAGGTCATGATCTCGCGGTTCAAGAGTTCGAGGCCCGCGTCAGGCTCTGTGCTGATAGTTTGGAGCCTGCTTCGGATTCTGTGTATCCCTCTTTATCTGCCTCTCCTCCACACTCACTCTCTTTCTCTCTGTCTCTCAAAAATAAATAAACATTAAAAAAAAAATTTTTTTTTAAAGTAAAACAGCCTGGCCTCTGTACAATACACTATCAGAGAGCAATAAGCGGATTTATTTTGCTAAAGTTTCTGGTGAAAGAACAGTTGAAAATAGTGCTGGCAAGATGGATTAAAGGGTCTGCAATGACTCGATACAGCATTTACACATCATCTCTAACACAGTATAGAGTTAGGGAAGGGTTTTGAGATACTAATTTGAGTGACACTCATTTTTAGAAGGTTTATCTTTGAGAACAGCATACAGAAAGAATGAGAATTAGACTTAAGAGAAATCACACTGGTTGATAATCTCAAATTTATTTTACTTATTACCCTCACTCTGCATATAGATAGGTCGGAACATAGGTGATAACTCTTAGAATTGTTTGTCACTAAAATCTGAGAGTAAGATTAATAATCAGAGTACAGAAAAAGAAAGTAACCAGAGAGGGATATATACATATATTTGTACATACAAATATTACAAAATATTTCCTGTCTAGAGCCTCAAAGTGGAGTGTAAAAGACTGCAGAAGAGAACTGAGTTGAAGGGAAAAGGGGAAAGGAACCATAGGGTTGTGAAATGAAATCAGAAATTTCAGTTCAAAACAAGAAAGATTTTCAAACAGTTACAACTATTTAAGAGTGAACAGGCTTGATGTGATTCTATGAGCATTTGATCCCAAATGCCTCTATTCTAAAAGTTCAACCTACTGAATTTTATACAAAAATTGGAAAGAAAAGAAGTATAACTGACACAGTAATATATATGTGTGTGTGTATGTGTGTGTGTGTGTATATATATATACACACACACACACATATAAATAAAAGAAGAGAGTACCTACTTAAGAGAAAAAAGAGTAACATGCAGAGTATGTATACTGTAAATTGGTGACAGATGGACAGATAGGTAAAAATAGGTATTGACTAGATATTGACAGGCAGATTAGTATTATCACATTGTTTTACCAAATGTGATAATTTTTCAATTTCCAAAATGTGGAAACCCAAGCAACACAAGACTCCAAGAGTTTTAAGGACTATGCCTCATAATGAATTGCATGGTCCACATATCAGTACAGACTGATATGTACAGACTGGCTAGCTCAGTCTGTACAGTGTGTAACTCTTGATTTTGGGGTTGTGAGCTTGAGCCCCACAATGGGGGTTTCCTTTACTTAAAAAGGAAAAAAATTTTTAATATATTTATACCTATATAGCATATGTATAGTTTCAGTTCCTTTTTAGGTAGTTTGCATCTCATGATAGCAAAAATGAAAATTCCAGAAAGGAATCAGACACCTATCTTCTAATGCTTATACATTATTTTGAAAAACAATGAATTCTGCAGATGAACAATAAAAATATTTTCATTTTTAACTCATTTGTTTCAGCAGAAAGACAACCAAAAAGTTTTTTTTTTACGTATATTTTTAGGTTATATAATGAACTCATTATTTCCAGAGAATAATTCTTCTTTCCAATTGCTTGAAACCACTGTCATAATAATTTGATTTAGATTGGAAAGTAACAGTCTTTTCAATTAAGAGACACACTTCATTTTCCAATACCTCCATTCTCTTCATTTCTTCTAAAACTCATTACAAACCAAATAATTTTATTCAGCCCAAGTAATTTCTGGAAACACAATCAAGGGTTACAGTATAATTGTGAAGTTTTGATGTCCTTTATCTTTTTCTTAGGAACATTTGATATTAATAGGTAGAAACTCCAACTTTTAAAAAATATTTCCTTAAGGTATAACATCAGCTCTGAAAATAAAAATAGGAAAACTAGCTTTCCTCCAGGATTAGCATGACACAGCACTACTAAAGCACATATTTTAGGACACAAATGTGTCAAGAAGCAATGATTATTATTATATAGCCAAAGAGAGCAATTAAAAGAAAGTTTAAAAAAACTACAGTGCCAGGTGTATGGCTTTTTAAAGTCAGCAGAATCAAAATGCATTTTTCCAAGTATATATTTTTTGAAATTTAATCTATAATTTCAGAAGAAATTATATTTCTGAAAATTTAGTTATTTAAGCTGGACTTTGTAATAAGATATGTAAGGGCCCAAACAGGACTTATATTTTGAGGTATTAGATTTAAATAAAAATTTGATGAAGGAAAGGAAAAATAATTGAACATTATATAAGACTTAGCTCGTAGAAGTTCACCACACACTTTACATATGTAGTTGTCTTATTTATTACTCTTTCAACAATCCAGGAAGGTTGCTATCATTGCCTATATTTTATGGATGAAGAAAATGGAGGCTGAAAAAGAACAAGTAATTTAACCCAAGATCATACAACAAGTAAGTAGCAGAGTAAGAATTTCAAACCAGAGGTCAATTCAAAATCCTTCATTTATTGACATGGGGATTCTTTGACGTAATATACTATAATTTTCCTAGATCAATCACATCAAAGTCGGCATTAAAAACATACAGAGAAATATTGGTAGGAGTATATCCACATAGCCATTTTAGAGAATAATTTGCCAATATCTATCAAAATTTTAAACATTAAAAAGTATATCCTTTCATCCAGTAATTCACTTTCAGGAATCCATCCTCTAGAAATTCCGGCTCTGGAGCACCTGGGTGGCTCAGTTGGTTAAGAGTCCGACTCTTGATTCCAGCTCAGGTCAAAATCTCACAGTTTGTGAGTTCGAGCCCCATGTTGGGCTCTGCAGGGACAGGGTGGAGCCTGCTTGGGATTCTCTCTCTCTCCCTCTCTCTCTGCCCCTCCCCTACTTGTGTGCTCGCTCTCTCTCTGTCTCAAAATAAAATAAACTTAAAAGGAAAAAAGAAATTCTGGCCATCCACTAGTATGTCAATGCAACATTATAATTTCAACAAAAGAAAATAATAGGATCAATGTCCATGAATAGGGAATTGTTTCAATACAGTGTGCCCATACCACAGAACTATGGATAGTAATATAAGACTGTGGTAACTCTATATGTACTTACATGGAAAGATCTCTAAGACATATTTTTGAGAGTAAAAGCAAAATAAAATATTACAAGTAGCATAATATTAGTTATGAGTTATATTAAAATTATAATAGAGTGACATATTGAGGAGATTTTTCCTACCATGCAATGCTATATTTATTTTGACCTTGTGACCATGATTTACATTTATTCCTAGAAAACCAACCCATGCCACAGGTTAAAGACCAAAAATTAAACATCTCTATGTTTTCCTCACAGGTCTATCAGAGTTCCAGGACCAAAGCCACCATTACCCTTTTAATCACAAAGCACATTTGACATTTTAAACACTTTCACTTGAATTACCTAATCTGGTCCTCACAATACCCATAATCCAAGTATCCCAGAGCAGTTCAACAATAACAAAGTCACACTATTCTGCTATTTTATGCTAGTATGAACTGCTATTTTTAATTCAATTGCCAAGCATTTATTGAGAGTTTATTGTGAGCAAGCTTCTCATAATAGGTGTTATCAGGGTAGAAAGGTGAATCAAATTAGACAAGATCCTACCCTGAATAAAATAAGCAGGGTAGTTATGTTGGTGGAGGGAGTAAGTTATAAGACACATGCACAAATAACATAATTAAAGGAAAAAGTGAATAGGTAACATTAGAAAGGTACAAAAAATAGGCACAAACCATTATACCATTATCTTGGTGATCTGCAAATCTGGAAGCCTGGGGGTCTTCTGAAAGGTTCTAAACTCTGAATTAAAGTTGTTCATATAACTATTTTTGCTTATTTACATATAGTTTATAAGTAGTTCTTTTAAGCATGTATATATATACATATGTATATGTATATATATGTATACATGTATACATGTATATATGAAAGGTTCTGAAAGGTTCTAAACTCTGAATTAAAGTTGTTCATATAACTATTTTTGCTTATTTACATATAGTTTATAAGTAGTTCTTTTAAGCATATATATATATATACACATATGTATATGTATACATATGTATACACGTATATATATATATATATATATGCTTATTTATATATAGTTAAGATCTTAATGATCTGGTAGCATTCTACAATGTGATCAAGTGGCAAACACAGAAAGTTAGAGACAAGTAAATCTAATCTCCCATTGGAGCTGCTCCATTTACAAGCTGTTTGGGAGACTTATTTAAACTGAGGCTTTGTGTAGTCAACTGTATTTTCCAAAAGTGGCTACATCGATATTTATGCTTCAGAACCTTGTGTCTCCTCTATCAAGAGAAGTCAGTTTCATCGCCTCTTGAAACTGGGCATTCTACATAGTCACACAGTCACTTAATAAACAGAATATGGCAGAAGTTAACACTGCTATAACGTCCAAGGCTAATCATAGAAGTGATTTCTCTCTCTCCCCTCTCTCAACGCTTACCTTTAAAATCCATCTGCCATGCTCTTAGGACTGCAAATTAGTCCACATGAAAATAGCACGGAAGTACTTACCATCCACCAGCATCAATGCCTGGACATGTGAGCAGATGAGTCTTCAGGTGATGACAGACGCAGCCTTCAAGTGCTCCACCTGAGGCCTCAGACATTGTGAAGTGGAGATAAGCCATCCCCATTTGAATCCCTGATCCACAAATCCATGAGCATAACAAATGTTCATTTTGGTGTAATTTGTAGAAAAGACATAGTAATGTGAACACTCAATTTCCTCATCTGGAAAAACAGAATAAGAACAGTATCTGAAGAGTTATTTTGAGGATTAAATAAGACAATATAAAGTGTTTAGTTTAGTATAGAGCCAGACACACCGCAGATTCTAAAAAAGTGGACATTACTATTACCATGTTAGTCTCTCTCAAAGACTGCCCCCCTCTACTACATTACACATTACCTGGCCTCCTCTTTTCAACTCTCTGGCAAAAAAAGTTCCCATTCTGAAATTGCACTCCTAGAAATACTCAAGAAATACATCATGAGTTCTTATGAGGAACTAGGTAGCTTTTAGCAAGCAGTTTGTATATTCCTAATCCCTTCCAGCAAACTTGAACTCTGAAGGCGGGAATTAGCAGGATGAAAGGAATGGTTGGAATAGCCAAGAGGGGGCAAAGTAAACAAAAAGTCCTCTGTGATGAACCTGCTTTCTAATTTTTTCTGTTGTCACTTCAGGCAGTAAGTACTTGTGTAATAACACACACATACACGAAAACACATGCAAATTCACCATTTGAAATGAGCACTTCTGTGATAGTGATAGAATTTATGTGATAGAATTCTGTGACAGAATTCATGATAGTTGGTATCCAGAGCATCAACTTAACATTTTATTTTTATATCCATTCATTCACTCATCCATTGGACAGACCTTCACTTAGCAACTTGTACATGCCAGATGCTGTGCAGGTACTAGTAATTCAAGAATATATTCCACATGGCTTCTGCCCTTGAAGATCTATAGTTTAAAGATATACACATAGAAGTTCTTTTTGTTTTTTTGAGTTCTTTCTGCCTCACAAAAAAACCCTTAATAATTTGCTTATGTAAAAATGTGTTTTAGTGAAAAGAGTAAAAATTTATTTATTTTTTAATATGAAATTTATTGGCAAATTGGTTTCCATACAACACCCAGTGCTCATCCCAACAGGTGCCCTCCTCAATGCCTATCACCCACTTTCCCCTCCCTTCCACCCTCCATCAACCCTCAATTTATTCTCAGTTTTTAAGAGTCTCTTATGGTTTGCCTCCTTCCCTCTCTGTAACTTTTTTTTCCCCCTTCCCCTCCCCCATGGTTTTGTGTTAAGTTTCTCAGGATCCACATAAGAGTGAAAACATACGGTATCTGTCTTTCTCTGTAAGACTTATTTCACTTAGCATAACAAGAAGTAAAAATTTAAAACAAATAAGTTATATATTAATGCATTTTCAAGTTATCTCGATATTCTCCTCCAGTTTTCACATTATCTTCACTTATCACTGTCTTCATCATTGGGATATACATCAACCAATATATATTTCAAGTATATGTGAATAAAATTAAGTAATCACAGTATTGTTATATGGGTACGGATGTTACAGTGCACATGAAGTTATAAAGAGTATTTATATGTAGTATACTACACGTAAGAGTATGACAAGCAATTCATCCAGTATGTGGACTGAAGAGAGAGAAACACAAAATGAGGAATAAGGCTAGAGTGGTAGGCAGGGACCAGATCACAAAGGTTGTTGGGTGCCACTTGCAAGGCTAAAGAGTTTTGCATTTTATCTTCTAAGTGACTGAGCAATAATAAAGGATTTTCAGTAGGTGAATTATAATGCATCCAGATTTGTGTTCCAGAAGGCTCACTCTAGTAGCAAAAGTAGAGAATGAACGTCCTGTGTCAAGGATACCAATCTGGGGCTAATTGCACTGGTCCAAGGCAATATATGTGCATGCCCGAAGGAAGGTATTTGTTTGTAGTGGTAATGGAAGAGAAAACAGTTTTGAAAAGTATTTGGAAAACAAAGGACTGCTTCTGACAGGGTGTAAAGAACAGGATAAGTGGAAATATGGGACAATTCTCAAGTTTTCTGCTTTGGGTGATCTGGTAGGTAAGAATATCATCACCAATGAAAGTAGAGAGGGGAAGAAACATCAAGATGGGAGGAGGAAGGACATTGAAGAAATGGTAGCTTTACAGTGCTGGCAGGACATTCAAGTAGAAATAGTCAGCCAACTTAGAAATAAACGTTAAGTGGTGTGCCCCATCTTTTTCTGTTCCGCAGAGTATATTTCTTCACTTTTAAGGAAGAGAAAACCTGGGGTGGAGATCAACTTTCCCACATTTCCAGCTGGACTGCTGTGAAGAGGCAGATGTTCCTCATCACTAAACAGCCACAGTGAAGTTGATGCCTCTCCCTCTGATTGGCTAGAGAGGGACATGCACTTCCTGTCTGTATGAGGCACCACCTAACAGAACTCTCCACAATTGAATACAGTTCGCAGTGGAAATATAAACTGATCTTTATTGATACAGAATTCTTCAAAACCATCCCAACCTTTCTCTAAAAGCTATATATCTTTACCTATTCACTGGGACACAATCTAAGTTCTTCGGCCTCTTATCTAGGATTTGCATGTATCTCCATCAATGAACACCCCTCATTGTGTCATTAACTCTCTTTGTAGAAAATATTATTTTTCAGCATTCCTGTTCCATTCTCTCTCCCTAACAGCATCCAGATTTTTCAGATAAACACCCCATCCCTCATCCAATCCATGTACTTGGGGTAAAGATAATTCAAGGTCTACCAGAGGTAGACTTAAGCCAGCAAACAGGTTTCATTCCCCTGGCTGCTGCCACTGGTGTATTGTCGATCACGTGACTTAAACAGCCCAATCAGAATAAATCTCAGGACTCTTGCTTAGAACATTTAGATGGAAGTTCTTTTTCCCACAAGAATAAACAAGGAAACATACATGCACTTCATTACTATTGGCAGCCATCCTACGTTGTAAGGCTAATTTGCCTAATACCACAGAAGACAAAACAGAATTATTAAGTCATCAGATCACCCTAAACCTACAATCTGTCCTGCTTCTGGATTTTCCGGTAATTGTGCCAATACATTTTCTTATTAATGTTTCAGCAAGCGTGAGCCATATTTTCTACTAGTCCCACAAGTCATATTAACTATACTTGGTATTAAAATGTGAAACAAGCTGAATGAGAGAAGCATGGGTACATGGCATATCCTAAGCTAAGGAGTTGACCATCCTGATAAGGTTGAAAAACTGTTGATGAAACTGTTAGCTCTTGTGATGGGAAAGGAACAGCCTCTCTTCACAAACACCACATTCTCCACACCATCCTCTCTCTTTAGGCCTCTTCTAATACCACCTGAGTGAATCTGATGACTGGACCACTTCTTTGAACTAGCACCCCTCAATGAAAATTTTGAAGATTCCTGACTCCAGCTACTTGTGCACTGTACCCTTAGGACATGGAATACTTAGCAACTGGCATCCTCAGCTTTGGGATTTAGCTGCCATAGGTGATAAATCTCATTTATCATTTAGTTACATATCTTCATCTTTATGTATATCTCTATCTACACCCAAAGCCAAAACCATCATCACATCTATACCACACACATGCTTATATCTGTATCTATATACATTTATACAGGCCTATACCTATGCATTGTCTAAATTTAAGTCAATACATCCACCTGCATACACAACACTATGCTATTGTAACATTTAGGTTGTTATAGCAATTAAATGAGTTAACATATGTAGGTGCTCAATGAGTATTTACTGAGTGAATGCAAAGTGCCCACAACATGTTAAGTTCTCAATAAAAGCTAGGCATTATTATTTGCATTCATTGTACTAAAGGTAGCAACAAGTGAAAATCCCAACTTAAGCTTGTTTATCGATAAGTAAATTTATTATCTCAGAAAATTTTAAGATCAGAAGTAAAACAGGTCCTAGATAAAGTAAAATCAAAGGTTCAGTGATATCATCGAGATGCTTTACCCCTCTTCATTCTGCCACCTCATATGGGGATGCATCATCCCAAAGTGATTCCCTTGCAGTTGCAAGATAACCGTGGATGGCAATCGGGACTCTGTGCCTCCTTGTTCATACCCAGTTGAAGAGAAGAAGAGAATATTTTCCCCCAAGCATGGGAGTTATGTCTTTCCTTTTTCTTGGCCTTTCTTTTGGCCCTTCTCTTCACTTCCCTATGTGGCAGGCGGCCAAAAGTGGCTCCATCCAATTTAAGAATAAAGAAATTTCAAAAAGAGATTGACAGCTCACAGACCATCCGGGAAGCCTGGGGACAATGCAGCCAAGGAAAAAAAAAAAAGCATAAAACTAGTCTTGTGAGGAAGCTGCTACCACTGAGCATTAGACTGTGTACCTTGGACCACCAACATGGAAGGCAGAGGAAAGGATTCATGTGATTAGCAATGCCTAGAGCATGTATCCATACGTTAGGAGCAAGGGAGGCTGAGAAAGCAGCTATCTGGCAGTTTAGCATTTTATGGTGGGAAGTCAACTCTGAACTCTCACTTAGATACATAAAGCAGGCACTCCCAGACACAGAGAGATTCAGATAGCTGGCAAGTACTAAGGTCCACTATTGACAGAGCTATATTATAGGAGCACGCAGCCACCCACATGGTATGGTTCTCCCTGGGGAAAAGAGACTTTGTGAACAACACTGAAAGGGCTTGCTCACCAAACTCTGTAACACTTCAGGATCCAAGCAAAAGTAGAAGAAGAGTTCTCCATTTCAAATGGCACCCTGCTGCACCGCGGGTCCCCAGTCCAACAGACAGGCAGCATTACTGGAAGACCTCCAGTTTGCATTCGTGGTATGAAGAATTTGACTCAAGAGACACTGAATTAATCTCTGTTAGTGGAAAGGATGGTGTGAGGCTGTCAAGGCGAGCATGACTCAGCCAGCGGCAAAAGCAGTGACAGCAACTCATCCAACAACGGTGACAGGGAGCAATAACCAGAACAGATTCCCTGGAGCACAGAAGGTACCCCTTGAGGACTCTAATGGTATGTAGGAAAGAATTCCTTACAACGAAAAGGGAGCTTAAAATGAGCAAGATTTCGGTGCTAATGTTAAAATCCAAGGTCTCAGAGACATGTGGATCACACATGTGATTAAAGAAACAAATGACATCTTATTTCCTGGAATCGGAGCTCTTAAAAGAAG